CTCTCCTTGATTAGTTTCCATCCGTTGCAGTTCTTTGCCAGGAAGACCTCTCAAGTCTTTTCTTGTCTTCTACCGTGCCTTTAAATTTTAGATTTAAATTTTAGAAAGACAACTTACTGTCTCTCTTGTAGTAAAACTATAAAGAAGCCGGGGCACCTTGGGAGACCAACAGCTTCACTGTGGGATAAACATTTATGAACGGCAGCATTTTCCCTGGATACACAGCTTTTTCAGGGATGACCTGTCTCTCCCACCACTGCACACTGGTGCTGATTTTGCAGCTGTTCAACCTGCAGTAGACAATGCTTTGCATTCTGCTTCTAACTACTGTAATGCTTCCAGTTCCTTCCTGCCCCCAAAGCCATGTGTACAAATCTATGCATACATACATAAATACATACACCCATCATGCTCTTTCCTGGGGGGGGGGGGGTATCAGCAACATTATGCAGAATATCAGAACTAATCAGCCAAATAAATCAGGGCATGAGAGAAAAACAAGGAACAAAGGAACATGGCTAAATTTAGTTCATACCAGGGGTCTTCAAACTTGGCCCTTTTATGACTTGTGGACTTCAACTCCCAGAATTCCTCAGCCAGGCATGCCTGGCTGAGGAATTCTGGGAGTTGAAGTCCACAAGTCATAAAAGGGGCCAAGTTTGAAGACCCCTGGTTTATACCAACACTGCAGTACTATCTCTCTCTGTCCTTGCAATCCACCTTAGTTCTACCCCATCCGTATAACATTTCACACATTCCCCTTATTTATTTAGGTATATTTATATTTTCATTTCCAGATAGTTCAGAGTTGCAATGGTGCTGAATGAGTAGTACTTACAATGAAGTTTTGGCCATCGCTGAACCCCTTGTGGCCACATGATTGCAATTTGGGTGCTTGATAACTGCCTCACATTTACGATGGTTCTAGCACCCTGCAGTCACATGATCCCCATTTGCCACCTTCCCCAATGGCTTCCCACAAGCAAAGTCAGTGGTGAAGCCCCCAGGGAAGGTTGTAAGTTACTCAAAGTCCCCTCCACAAATCTTCCTTTGCTTCCTTTGCTCACACACAACCTACACTAGGCCCCCCAATTCACACTGGGCCTGTGCCAGTGACCCCCAGCCTCCCCAACCCACCCTCTGAGAAACCGCCTTTAATTTGCCAGCCTTTAATTTAACACATGCTTTTCTTCCGTCCTATTTCTGTCTTATTTCACTGGTCCCATTCAGCAATCAACCTTCAATTATGTATTCATGCAAAATGTTCTATCATTCAAGCCTGTTCCATTGATCACATGCTTTCTCTAAATTAATAAGCATAACAAACTTTCTCGTGCTCACACATTTTTCAATGATTTACTGAGAAGCAAAAATCGGATTTGCTACCCATTTGCTGCTACAGTTGCAACACACTTCCCAAATGTGTGAGACTGGACAGCCATTTATCTGAAATAGTATAGGTCTCCTGTGAGAGCAGGGGGTTGGACTGTCACTAGAGACTTCTGAGACTCTAGAAAGAGTACAGAGAAGAGCAACAAAGATGATTAGGGGACTGGAGGCTAAAACAAATAAAGAGCGATTGCTGGAATTGGGTATGTCTAGTTTAATGAAGAGAAGGACGAGGGGGGACATGATAGCAGTGTTCCAATATCTCAGGGGCTGCCACAAAGAAGAGGGAGTCAAGCTATTCTCCAAGGCACCTGAAGGCAGGACAAGAAGCAACGGGTGGAAACTAATCAAGGAGAGAAGCAACTAGAACTAAGGAGAAACTTCCTGACAGTTAGAACAATTAACCAGTGGAACAACCTGCCTCCAGAAGCTGTGAATGCTCCAACACTGGAAGTTTTTAAGAAGAAACTGGACAGCCATTTGTCCGAAATGGTATAGGGCAGGGGTAGGCAACCTCGGCTCTTTTATGACTCATGGACTTCAACTCCCAGAATTCCTGAGTCAGCTATGCTGACTCAGGAATTCTGGGAGTTGAAGTCCATGAGTCATAAAAGAGCCGAGGTTGCCTACCCCTGGTATAGGGTTACCTGCCTAAGCACGGGGTTAGACTTGATGACCTCCAAGGTGCCTTCCAACTTTATTATTATTATTATTATTATTATTATTATTATTATTATTATTATTATTACTACTACTACTACTACTACTACTACTACTATTACTACTACTACTACTACTACTGGAAAAAGTACAAAGAAGAGCAACTAAGATGATTAAGAGCCTGCACACAAAAATATATGAAGAACAATTGCAGGAATTGGGTATGGCCACTCTAGAGACAAGAAGGAGTAGTGGAGACATGACAGCAGTATTCTAATATTTGAGGGGCTGCCACAAACAAGAGAGGGTCAACTTATTTTCCAAAGCACCAGAAGCCAAGTCAAGAAACAATGGATGGAAACTAATCAAGGAGAGAAGCAACCTGGAATTAAGGAGAAACTTCCTAACAGTGAGGACAATTAACCAGTGGAACAGCTTGCCTTCAGAAGCAGGGGGTTGGACTTGATGACCTCCAAGGTCCCTTCCAACTTTATTATTATTATTATTATTATTATTATTATTATTATTATTATTATTATTATTATTATTATTATTATTATTATTATTATTATTATTATTATTATTATTATTATTATTACTAGATGATCTATAAGGTCCCTTCCAACTCTGCTACTACCAGTATTACTGTTGCTCATTGCTACCACCTGTCCACTTCCAGTCAGAATTTTGCCAACCACCTTCTAATCCTCCTGTACTTTTTGAATTCATTCTTATTACCTTTACTTTTGTGTAGGGAAAGTGTACTGTTCCAATGATCAGTCTTCACATACAGTATCCCTGAACAAGTTGCAGCCACTCCATTTGCAAACCATCTGCAGCCATATCATTTTTACAGCTTTTATGACTGACAGCTAAACAATTGGACACTAATATCCATACCATTTGTTTCAACACTATTATTCGCATATAAATCTCCAAAATACTCCTTCCAGCATACCCTCCCTCCAGTTTCATCTATTTAGGTAAATAGTAAAAATTAAGGTTAGATCAACTTCGAGCAAATCAGAAGTAGTGGGTGACGGTTTTATATAAAAAATTAAAGGTTGTTCAAGTGAGACTTAAAGAGACGGGGAAAATTAGAATTGATAAAAAACAAAAATTTTTGTAAGAAACGTCGATAGAAGAAAGAGATGTTCAATGTGTCACAAAGGGAGTTCTGCATTTTTGCAGCAGTCAATCTCTTACATGCATTATTTCTCATCTATAACCTCTTTTACATCATGCCATTAAATGTCTTTTTTCCATTAGAGTTAACTCCAGATACTTCGTATTACATCATTCTTTTCACTCTGTTCCAAGAAGTTTCTTGTTTCCTTACGTCAACTTCCATTTATTCTGCTGGACGATTATTATATCTTCTAACGCTTTTTTCATATTTTATATTTTCTCTTCCTGTGGTCATTCTGGTTATAATATTTTTTCCTTTAATTTCTTTCCTTCCCTGGCTACTTTTTTTTCACTCATGCTAAAAATGATCTGTCCCTTATTCAAAAAAAAATTTCTTGTGTCTTTCACTGATTCTCTCAGCTTTCCAACAATCAAATCAGTCATGCTTTATCTATACATTGTCATGTGTAGATCTCAACAGACTTATGCTTAAATCATGCATTTGATATTTTTCCAAATAGATATTCACCAATTACAATTCTTACTCATCCTTAGGGTCTAAATGATCCAATCATTTTTCTCATTCTCACTCATCCATTACTGTCACCTACTAAATAATTCCTTCCATCACATTTCTTCAGAATGTTGTATAATTTTTCCTAAATTTGGAAAACTGGTTATTATTATTTATTGGAGCAGAACATCCAACTATCGCTAATCTAAGGATTCTCTACTTTCAGAGACTTGATATCTTGACTACTAGTGACTTCATGGTTGGGTCCATGTATTTTTCTTGGCAACATAGACATTTGCCTTCTTCTAGGACAGGGATCTTCAAACTTGGCCCTTTTATGACTTGTGAACTTCAACTCCCAGAATTCCTCAGCCAGTGTGCCTGGCCAAGTTTGAAGACCCCTGTTCTAGGATGTTTCTTTAACTTCCCATCTAGCCTACTATTCCCTGGAGATCTCCCATCCATGTACTAACCAAAATTGATCCTGCTTAGTTTCTTAACCCACACAAGATCACCCACAAAGATGACACCAATTCATATTGTTGGATCTATAGTTTAGCCAATTCGTTCATAACAATGTGCTTTCTCTCCCTACATTATTC